AGCTGGGTGAAAACACAAGTTGAGGAAGGAACAGGCAATGTCTGACAACAACCCCAACCGGGGGTCTCACACTCCACGCCCAATAGACTTAAAAAAGGAAGTGTGACTGGCTTATTGACACCTGCATATAGTAATCTTAGTGGGTGGGGTGTGGAGGCAGGAAGATCAGGAGTTCAAGGTCATCTCAGCTTCCCAGAGCAATTGAGACCAGCCTGGCCTTGTCTCAAAAACCCAAAACAAAGCAATCTGGTGCTAGGTAGTGACACCTGTAGATCTGGTGACTGAGGCAGGAGATTCATTTGAACCTAGGAATTGTGCCAAAGCCAGCTAGGATACGGCAATACTGTTTCAAAAAAAATTCAGTGGGTATGGTGGCACATCCAGGCACTCAGGAGGCAGAAGAATTAGGAACTCTAGGTCAGAGTGGACTAAGTGAGACCACCTCAAAAACAAACAAACAAACTGAGCTGAGAGATGACTAAGTGGCTATGAGCATTAGCGGCTTTTCCAAGGGACCCAGGTTCGGTTCCCAGCACCCACATCGCAGCTTTTCACTATCGGCAGCTTCAGGTCCAGGGGACCCAGCACAGACATGCAGGCAAAACACTAATGTACATAAACAACAACAACAAAAAAGCCAAAACCAAACCTAAACACAAACCCTTAAGTTGACATATAGGAGTGTAAACCCAAGACCTAGGGGCCAAAGCAGGAAGACCAGGAGTTCCTGGAAGCGCGATGGGGGTAGGGGTCTATGCTATAGGTGGCCTAAGGACCATGCTGAGAAGACCATCCATCTTTCCTGAGTGTTTATTAAGCAGCTACCATACGCCAGGCTAGTTTTCACCCTAGACAGAGACAAGAAAGACTTACGTCTACCCTCAGGAAGTTTACATTCTTGTGAGGGTAGAAAATACCAAGGTTACAATGAAAGTGGCCAGCCAGGGACATAGAGCAAGTGGGCAGAGACAGTGCTATAAACCTGAAGAGCCGGCAGGGCTTCTCTAAGGTCACTGGAATGACAGGGAGGAGCCAGCCACCTTCTTTGGGAAAAGCATCCAGAAGGAACTTTTATACCCAGTTCCTTTAACCCTAGGCGCTCATCTAAGAATGTCTCAAAGTAAACAAGTCCAAAAAGTGTGAAGGTCCCCCCTTTATTATGGAGGCTTCCAAAGCAAGAGGACAGGATAGAGGAGTCTGCTTCAGGGAGGATCTAGCTGGCCCCTGGCCCCTTCCCTCCCGGGCCTGGTACCCCAGGCTTCCTTGGCCCAAGGGCATCAGTCTGATTCTTCTGCCTTTTGGGAAACCTGGGACCCATACGTCTCTCTCCCTCACGTCTCTCTCCCTCACGTGTCCCCAAAATCTCAGGCCAGGCCAGACCCCAGGGCTGAGCCAGTGGGATGTGTGGCAATACCCAATCCTCAGACAGGCCTCCTGGAGCGCCAGTGGGATGGGCGGGGCCTCCTGAGCACTCTTCCTGCTTTGCAGAGCTGGGTCCTTGGGGTCACAGGCATGGATCTGGTCCTCAGGATTAAAGACAGTGACAACACCTAACTGAGGCTGACCCCCCTCCCAGGTTAGGGAACACATGAGAAAGACAAGACACTAGGACCTCTTAGGAGGAGGAGAGGAGCCGTGTGGCACAGCTGATGCCCAGGGCAGGAGGGCAGCAGGGACAGGCGTGGATCATTTCTTCTTGGCACGGTCTGCCGCATCCAGAGCAGCCATGTTTCGTGCAGCTGTGACGAGGTGGATGACACTAATGATGGACTTGAGCAGGGCGATGGGAGCTGTGATCCAGAGGCCCATTCGGAAGAGCCCCACAGAGCCAACTGTGGGGAGACAAAGAACGGTAGCAGGGGAGATCAAGGCCTCTTTCTCCCCAGGCAGGGCAGGGTGGAACCTCACCGCCACCCCCTTTTTCCTACCTAGCGGTCCCTCGGAGAAATTGAACAGGTACAGGAGGCAGTAGAAGAGTTCATTTCCAGCACACAGGGTGAACAGAGCAGGCTGCACACAATACAATAAAAGGCTGCCTAAGATGCAGGCCATGTCCCTACGGTAACCCACAGGGACTTCTGCCAGACAGGAGAATCTCAGCCAGCTGCACACTGCACCCTCCTGCAGACATCTTCAGCCTCTCTCCTTTCCCTCCCTCCCTCCCTCCCTCCCTCCCTCCCTCCCTCTCTCCCTCCCTCCCTCCCTCCCTCCTCTCTGTCTCATTCTCTCTGATGCCAGGAGCCCTCACGCCAGTTCTCCTTCACCATGCCTCAGCCCAAGGACCACTGCCGCTTAGCTGTGTCAGCTCTCCTGACCGCGGCCCAGCCTAAGGCTCTCCGTTTCCACATCAGGTAGGGGAGGGGCAGGAAGTGCTCACCCTAGAAGTGTAGTAGATGCGAAGCACAGGGTTCCCAGAGAGGTCTATCATCTTGTGGCTCTCACTGCCTTTTACCACAGAACTAGGGGAGAATATCGCAAGACTTCATGAGCTCTCACCGCCACTACATCCGGCCAGCCATCCCACCAACTGCCTCTCATTCCCCAGGTGGGGGCAGTCAGGATTAAATGTCCCACCATAAGCACCCATGCTGCTCCCCACATTTGGAGCCAGGCCAATGCTAGAAATTGCTTGGGCCACCTGTATGACAAGCCCACTCAGAAACAGCCCTCACCCAGGGACCTTTCACAAAGCAAAACTTGAAAAAGAGGCCTCCGCTAAGGACACAGGCATGCTGGTATACAATTCTAGCACTCAGGAGGCAGGAGGGGAAAGACCGCCATGAATTTGAGGCCTGCCTGGGCACACACTAAATTCTAAGCAAGCCTTGGGCTGCTCTCTCAAGGGGTAAAGAAAAAGGAAGACACCTCCCAGGGATCCTGAATCATCCCCGTCTCCCTCCCATTGTAATATCTTCCCCCCATCAGCACCTCCAGCTTCAAAGCAGACCTGTGCAGATGCAGCCAGTGGCTGGCCACGTCTAGGCTCATGCTGAGCTGGAAGAGAAGAGTGGCCCGAGGGTATAGCAGGGCCAGGTTGACCAAGAGACACATGGTAGAACAACGGTCCGTCAGCATGTCAAGCATGGCCCCAAACCGAGTTCCTGAAAAAGAATTAAGTTGAAGTATTAAGTTGGAAGGGACTGTTTGGTCCATCACTCGGGGTCACATATGAAAGGAATTTAAAAATGTCTACCATCTACTGCTTGAGAAGGAAGGTAGGCTACTGTCAAGAGATGGAGAGGCCAGAAGGATGGGATATGAGGACAAGGAATGAGGAGGCCACGGCTGTGAGTAGCATATAGTGGTCCCTAATAACACCTGAAGAATAGAAGTTTATTTTCTTATTAATCTTTTGTTTTATGGTATGAGTTTTTGCCTTCATATATGTACGTACACGTGTGCCTGATGCCCACAGAGGCCAGAGACAACACTGGACCCCTGAAACTGGAGTTATAGGTGGTTGTAACCCACCATGTGGACTCTGAGAACTAAATCCAGGTCCTGTACAAGAGCAGCAAACATTCTTTTTGTTTGAGACAGGGTTCTCTGTGTAACAGAACTGGAACTCGACTTGTAGGCCAGGCTGGCTTTGAACTCACAGAGATCCACCTGCCTCTGCCTCCCAAGAGCTGGAAATTACAGGCCTGTGCCATCACCCAGCCAAGCAGTAAGCATACTTAATTTATCCTCTCCAGCCCCAATGACTTTTATTTTTGTAGGATTTTGCTGTGTAGCCCTGGTTCACCTGGTACTTAATATGCAGTCTAGTCTAAGAGGACTTTTGACTTGGAGCAATCTTTCTGTCTGCCTCTCCAGGGCTGGAATTACAGGCATGAGTCACCACGCCTGACCCGAAGGGAATTCATCCAGAGAGACCTCTTCCATTTACGCCACTAAGCCCGGTTTAGGTCACACCCTTCCTAAACCGTGAACAGCCCTCAAGAGCAAGCTTAAGTCCCCCCCCCCCCGCAAATTCCTGTCTTGTTTTCTTAGAGATGGGCATGGAATACTTCTGAGGTCCTGGGAAAGCAGGAAAAGGGCAGGGGGCTGTTGGGTCCCCAAGCAGCGGTAGTGGTAGAATTCTGTCACCTTGATTAAGGGCTCGAGCTGCGTGTCCATCGAAGGCGTCCAGAAGTCCACTGAGCAGATAGAAGGAGGAGGCCGTGAAGGGGCAGCAGGGCATGAAGTAGAAGGAAATGATGGCGAAGACAATCCTGGCATAACCTTGGCATGGGAAGGGAGAGGGACAGGTTGTGATCGGGGAGCCAGCTCATGGTCCCTCGCCCTCCGCTGGTGCTGGGGCCGCAGAGAGCAAGCACTCACCGATGAGGTTAGGGACGAACAGGAAGATATTTTCCTCTGGCATCTTGGCGGCTCCCCTTGTCGCCCTGGTCCAGCTCTGGAGGTGCAAGGACTCGTCCCAGTCTCACCAGTGCGGCCTCACCTTTCAGCCCGGGACATCAGCCGTTCCACCTGAGCCCTGGGCCCAGTTTCCCCACGCGATCCCAGCTGTTAGAGCCCGCAAGGTGCCAGGGCGCGGGACACCTCTGGACGCAGTTCCGGCACACCTGGTCTTCCGATGGGTAGGAGCTGCCGTCTCCAGCAGCTGGCCCCGTTGCTGGCTGCGCAACTAAGCTTACTCTTCTGTCGGGGACGTAAAGAGCATCGGAGGAAGGAGAGACCGGCTTTTAAATATAAATAAATTAATTAAATAAATAGTAGCTGGGCCCCTTTAAGGCCGGCCTGCTTCCTTTTCCTGCCGGCGTCCTTTGGCTTCGGCACGTACCAACCAACGCACCGAGGGAGGGGTGGGTGCCGAAAGCCATCCGCCAAGGAAGGAACTGCCAAGGGAGAGGCAGAAGAGACCTGAAAGGGAACCTGCATTCTGCCTTTTACAGAGGGCACAAGCTCCTGGAGGCAAAGGTACAGCGGTGAGATCCCGACGTTCCGAGTCTGAGCCTCCCCGAGAGACGAGGTGACTTAGTACAGCCCACATCGCTTCCCCCGCCCGCTAAGGCAGCGGCCGCGGTCGCTTTCCCGGACCCAGGCTGGTTAGAGGTGGCTAGAGAGGCTGGGGCGCGCCTGCCGCTTGCTTCTAGCGCCGCCCTGGTGGTGGGAGGATTGGAGCCCAGGTTCCGTCCTACGTCACCTCCCAAAAGCCTCGAAATAACGCTGGGGTCACCACCTCCAAGGAGGAACCTGGAGAGCAGCCGTGGTACCCTAGGAAAATGTCTTTAGTTCTAGAACCACTAGTCTCCTAGCAACGGAACTATAGAACCTCCGCAAACATTTAGGTCTTTATAGCAACCCGGAGCAGCGTTTCCCTGGCTCTCCCTCTTTCCAACCTTCCTCCCCAACTCCAACTCCCTATCCCCTGAGGCCCAACATAGGGTCTCCCCTTAGACCTCTCCGTATCCCCTCCCGCCGAGTAGCCCAAGATTTCATCAGCCAGGTCGGGGGGCTGCATGTTGGCTGCCTTGCCTTAGGAAGGGCCTTGGCAGAGAAGAAGGAAGGGCGTTGGATAGAATGGGGGAGAGAGTTATTCTGAGAGCCCCTCCCCTCAAAGTTGTAGGCAAAACAACCAACTTTTTCAAGGACAGGACTGAGACAGTGTTCGAGCTATAGGCGTGGACTAAACCTGGGCCCAGGGAATGGTGTGAGATGGGGTCTGGGAGGAAGTGGGCTGGTTCCTCAGTCTTAACACAAACGTTGTTTCCAGGGTGATGGCATCCACACCTGCCAGGAACAACGGAGAGAAAAAGGACAGCTGGCCATCTCAAGCTGCAACCGCCTTAGGTGGAGGGCAGGTGAACAACCATGGGATGTGAGAGAAGGGAAGCTAGGCAGGTACTCTGGTTCTGAGCCACGTGCCTTTGTCCTTATCCCGAAACCCCACAGACTGCGGCCAGGGTCCAGGGCCTCCCATCTCAACCTGCTAATACCAGATTCCTCAACCACAGGCCGGCAGCCTGGAAGACACCAGACCTGTGGGAGTTTGCAGGCTCAGTTCTAACTTCCTTTCCAGAAAGTCTCATTATCCCGGTCTGAAGAATTCCTGAGCCAGATCAGCGCAGAACTTACAGATGAAGCACTATTTATTGCTCGCTCCCAGGTGAACTCTGCGCCCACCAAGGAAATGCAGACAAAAGACCAAGGGACTCAGATACCATCTAAACACGGTGAGCTCTCTCTTCATCTAGGGACCAGTTCCTGACCTCCCAGGGAATCTGCCCATTTTTTCCACCTCAGTGCCAGTCATAGGCACAGTGCCCCTTACCCTCTAACCCACTCATTCTTGCTAGCCAGCGGCCCCCTTATCCCCATCCACTCTAGTCCCAACTCCTCCTCACCATGGGGAAAGTCACTTCTCTGACTGGGGCCTCTCTTTCCAGTGATCTTCACCAAGACCCGTGGCACAGACACCCGGTGAGTGACGCTCTGCCCAGGGAGGAGGGTGAGGGTGAGGAGCCTGCAGGGGGTGGGTGGGGGTGGGGGGGCAGGAATAGCAAGGGTTTATAACATCTCAGCAGGGTAGGGGAGTTTTGAGCCATGCTGGTCTATTCTGTTCCTTCCTGGTCCTCCATTTTGTGATTCTCAGCCTTCTCTTTTCTTCTGCTGCCTCCAGCTCTGACAGAAATCGCAGCCGCACCAAGGCACACCTTCTGCCATCTCCTCGTGAAAAGGTTTGTGTGAGGTCATTCAGTTACAGCATTTCCAGTGTCCACTGTGTGCTGCTCCCTGTGTTTGAGTCTGGGACACAGAATGCACAGGATAGACTCAGCCCTTGAATTCAGGGCTTTGTTGGTTTGTTTTTGTTTGTCTTACTAAGTAGTTTAGTTGGCCTAAAATTTGCCAGGCTGGCCTTGAACTCACTAAGATCCACCTGCCTCTGACTCAATGCTAGGATTAAAGGCGTGTGCCACCATTCCCAGCAGAATTCAGTTTAGAATGAGGCCAGGCCAAGCTAATGGCTGATGACAATGTAACATGGAATGCTACCACCTAAGAAGAGAAACCAGTAAGACTGTGCCTCATCCTCAGGTAGGCTAGGAAGGAAGGTATCATGGAGCTGCTCGAAGGAGGAATTTACCTAAAGAAGAATTTGCCAGGGAGGCAGCCCTAATATAAGTATTCTAAGCAGCAGGGATTGTGTGACCCAAGGCACAGAGAGGTATCTTAGTGAGGTTGTGAGCAGCTTGTATGCTCTGGGGCCTGCCAGGCTTGGTGGTACACGTCCTCAGGTACTTGAGAGTACTTCCTGTGAGTTCAAGGACACCTTGGCCTGCATAGTTAGTTCCTGTACACTCACGGCTACATAGAAAGACCTTGTCTCAAAATAAACAAATTTAGGAATTTAGAAATTATATATGTAACATACAATATGTGAGAGATAATAGAAATATGCAATATATGATAGAAATTTTATGTATGGGGAAACAGATTTTTTTTTTTTTCGAGACAGGATTTCTCTGTAGCTTTGGAGCCTGTCCTGGAACTAGCTCTTGTAGACCAGGCTGATCTCAAACTCACAGAGATCCACCTGCCTCTGCCTCCCGGGTGCTGGGATTAAAGGCGTGCGCCACCGCCACCCGGCTGGGGGAAACAGAAATTTAAAAACAGACAAATAAAGAGGCTGGAGAGATATGGCTCAACAGTTAAGAGCATTTGTTGATTCCCCAGAGGACCCAGGTTTAATTCCCAGCACCCATACCCATATAATGTCTCACTACTGTCCCTAACTCCAGTTTAGGAGATCTGATGCCCTTCTGGTCTCCACAGGGACCAGGCACAGTACTCAGACCAGTATTCAGATCTATCTGCAGGCAATTTAAAAACCATTTAAAGCCTGGTGTGGCATACACCTGTAATTCCAACATCCAGGAGGTAGAGGCAGGGGGATCTCTGTGAGTTTGAGATCAGCCTGGTCTACACAGTGAGTTGCAGGTCAGCCAGGGTTATATAGACCCTGTCTTAAAAAATAAGTAGATAAATAATAAATAAAACTTTAATATAAAAAGTAGACAAACCAGCCTTTAATCCCAGCACTCGGGAGGCAGAGGCAGGCGGATCTCTGTGAGTTCGAGACCAGCCTGGTCTACAAAGCTAGTGCCAGGACAGGCTCCAAAGCCACAGAGAAACCCTGTCTCAAAAAAAAAAATGTAGACAAACCAGTCAGTGGTGGCACAGACCTTTAATCCCAGCACTCGGGAGGCAGAGACAGGCAGATCTCTTTAAGTTCGAGGCCAGCCGGTCTACAGGAACTAGTTCCAGGGTAGGCTCCCAAGCTACAGAAAAACCCTGTGTTGAAAAAAAACCAACCAACCAACCAAATAGCAGACAGATGTAAGATGGAAGTGGATGGACGAGCTGAAGGAGTAGCAGGCACATGGTGAGTGAGAGACTGGATCTGTTGACTGAGCATGTGCTAAGCACCTGCTGTATGGCAGGAAGCACTGTCCTGGGGTACAGCACTGAGCAAAACAGAGCCCCTGCTCTCCAGAAGTGGGAGAGGAAAGATAAGTGGGGGGAGACAAGTGAGTAATGAATGCGGAGCAGGTGGATGGAACTGAAGGATGGGGAAGGAACGGTGGATAGATTTGGACATGGACGGAAGGAGGATGTCAGTGGGTGTGTGCATGGAGAACTGGAGCACGGTGCTCTATTCCAAGTGGTCTGTGGCTTTGGATGGCTGCGTGAAGGAAGGAGAGACAGGCTCCTTGAATCTGGAAAGCCGACAGCTCTCCCTCTCTTCCAGGGAGTGCTCCCCAATAGCCTGACGACTGGAGGATGAGTCCCACCCTCCCCAGTGCTGCTCTCTTGGCCTCGCCCTCCCCCACTTTGCCCCTCAGTGAAAGCCTCAAAGCCCCTCCTTTGCAACTGGCTAAACACCTCATCTCGGGAGGAATTCCTGCTCACCAGCAATGCCACCTTTGAAACCAACCAAGTCCTCTGGACCAGCTGCAGGACTCTCCATCTTCCACGGGCAGTCATACTACTGAGGAGAAAAGGTTTTAATAAAGAGCCAGGGACCCTTCCTTCCCCTCCAACATCAGGAGCGTTCTGGAGTGGCTTCTGGAGGGGGCGTGCTTTCTTCCAGAGGGCCATGGTGCATGTCAGCGTATGCCTGGAATCCAGTTGTTGGCCACCTGCTGGACCCAAATTTGTTCTCTAGCACCTTGTGGCTAGCTAGCTACAGCATGCAGGGGGCCACTCTGCTGCCAAAGGAGGGCCTTCGCTGTCACTTTGGGTTCTGAGGACCAGGCCTCTGCTTCTCCCTCTGAGCTCTTGGGAGTCTCATGTCTATGAGAACATGCTGACTTGTTGCCAGACAGAAGGTGAGGTAGAAGGCCGGAAGAAGCTTGGCCACTTCTTTGGCCGTCTGAGAAAGTCCATTCACCTTTCTCAATCTAAATAGAAAACTGAGTGGCCTGGCAGTGATGGCACATACCTTTAATACCAGCACTCAGGAGGAAAAGACAGATGATCTCTGTGAGTTTGAGGCCAGCCTGGCCTATAAGGATTAGTTCCAGGACAGCCAGAGATAGATAGTAAGACCCCATTCCAAACAAAACAAACAAACAAACAAACAAAAAAAAAGCCTGTGCTATAGCAAGACCATCTAAAAACAATAATAGAGGCAACACTCCACAGAATATCAGTAGGAGAAAGAACAGCGCGGAATACATGAATGAAGCCAGGCGGCGGTGGCGCACACCTTTAGTCCCAGTACTTGGGAGGCAGAGGCATGCAGATTTCTGTGAGTTCGAGGCCAGCCTGGTCAGCAAGAGCTAGTTCCAGGACAAGCTCCAAAGCTACAGAGAAATCATGTCTTGAAAAGCCAAATAACCAAAACCAAGAACACATGGATGTATACAAACATTTTCAAAAGGGGAAACTGCTCATGAAGTGAACGGAAGGCTCACTGCTCCCTGGGTCTGTGAAAAGGTGTGGACAGTACGGCTCTTCTAGCTGGGGGAACCTAGCAAGAACTAGCGGAGAGGTCAGTTGTGCCAGCCAGCTCGCTACAGGGGCTGAGCTTCAAGCCAGGCTTGTTTTGAGACAGGGTCTCAGTATGTAGTTCTTGCTGGCTTGGAACTCACTATGTAGGCCAGGTCAAAATCTGCCTGCCTCTGCCTCCCAAGAGCTGGGACTAACAGTGTTCACCATCATCCCGGGTATAACCCAGGCCTTTGGACTCCAGGCCAGCACGTGGGGCACTGCCCAGTTTTGGACTTCCATTTTCCTCCAGAGAGCTTCCGTTTCCCCAAACCCACTCTAAGAGGGCTCCCCACCACTTTCCCAGACTCACCAGCTCAGTTACAAGTGGCAACTTTCTGTTTATTGCTCAAAAACGAACTCAGAAGCAAAGAAAGGTGGAGAGAGAGTGGGCGGGGAGACACAGGGAAGGGATGGGACTTGGCCCACCCCTTCCTCCATCCTCACCCTCGAGGCCCAGCAGTGGCCAGACATCTGGGGGTAGGGAGCCTTCATGGCCATGGGGATGGTAGTACTAGGGGACAGTTCTTGAGTGGGGCCCTGGGCTGGAGAGGCCCCAGGAATTGCAAGGGGCTGAGTTCCCTTCCCTGGGTCCAGAAGTCAGTAGGATCAGGCGGACAGAAGGCCCCTTGTTTGGCAACTAAGAAGAGGCGGCTTTGGGCGGCAGGATGCTGGTTTATTTACTGTAGGGTCTCCAGGGCCATCAAAGCCCCCTCATGGGACGGGAAGACTATTTACACAGCAGGGGGAGGGAGCCAGAGACCAGGTCCTATGTTCCTCACTGCCCAGAATGGCAAGAGAATGGGGCGGTCCTGGGTCCTGCAGACTTAGACTCGGGGTTCAGATGGAGACTTCGTACTCCCGTGTATCCTGAAGACAGAAGAGCAGATAAACTGGAGTGAGTGGGAGGTGAAGAGGCACCCACAAGGAGGGAGGGGCAAGGCATAATATCTGAGCTGAGACGGGTGGTACCAACCTGTAATTCCAGCTACTAGGGAGATGGAGGCAAGAAGAGGACAATTCAAGGCAGGCCTGAGCTACAGCAGTTCCAGGTCAGACTGGATAATTTAAACACTTTCTCAGAAATCAGAGAGGATTGGAGAGCTCGGCATGATGATACATGCATTTAGTCCCAGCACTTGGAGGTAGAGGCAGGGGGGTGGTGTCTGAACTTGAGGCCAGCCTGGTCTACATAGAGTTCCAGATTTGCCAGGGCTACATAGAGAGACCCTTGTCTCAGAAGAAAAGAGGGTGAGACACTAGAGATGCCACCCAATGCCTAGAGCCTGCAGACGGCTCACAAGGAACTAATCTCCAGTACCACACACAGAGAAAGACCATGTTATTCTGAGACAGGGTGTCTCTGTATAGTCCTGGATGTCTTGGAACTCTCTAGGTAGATCAGGTTGGCTCCAAACTCAGAGATCGGCCTGCTTCTGCCTCTAGATTAAAGTCGTTGAGCCACCATGTCCAGCAAGACCTTCATACTTAAATTAATATGGGGAGCTGGAGAGATGGCTACTCTTTCAGAGGACCTAGGTTGGGTCCACAGCATTCACATGGTGGCTCACAACTGTCTGCAACTCCTGTTCCGTGGGGTCTGACGCCCTCTAGACTCTGAGGGCAGTTCATGTACTTACTGTAGACAGGCAAGCATAAAACAATTTTATTTTTGTTTTTTGTTTTTTTTTTTTGATACAGGGTTTCTCTGTGTAGCTCTGACTGTCTTAGAATTCACTCTGTAGACCAAGCTGACTTTGAACTCACAGAGACCTACCTGCCTCTGCCTCCTAAGTTCTGGGAGTAAAGGTGTATGCCACCACTACTGGCTACAATTTAAAATTTTTTAGATTTTTTTCTTTTTTTCCTTTATTTATTAGGTTTTTTGAGACAAGATGTCTCCGTATGTAGCTCTGGCAATCCTGGAACTCACTTTGTAGACCAGTAGACCAGGCTGGCCTCAAACTCAGAGAGCTCTCCCTGCCTCTGTCCAAGTGCTGGGATTAAAGGCATGCACCACCACAGCCTAGCCAGAAAATGTTTTCTAGTAAAGATTCCAAGTCAGGCTTGATGGTGCATATTTTAATCTCAGCACTCAGGGCATAGAGGCAGGCAGATCTCTGAGCGTTCCAGGCCAGCCAGGGCTACATAGTAAACCCTGCCTCCTCCCCCCCCACACAAAAGAAAGAGAACCCAGGGTTAAATTTAGCTAATAGATATGTTTGGTTTCTCCAGTAGTACTGTACGATGACAGAAAGGCATTTCTGAAATGCCTGGAACAGGAGGAGGATCTGGAGACTGGGCCTAAGTGCCCGCTGTGGATTTGAGCTACATCCTGCAGACAGACTCTGGTCCTCCACTTAGCTACAGACCTCACCATCCCCTGTTGCCCCCACACAGCTTGCTTTGACCGTCATCATGACTTCTCTAGGCAACTGAGTCTGAAATTTTCCAAAGAGATCATGGAGACTTTGGGAGAAGATTATAAAGTCCTGGGGGGAGACAGAGAACTGTGGCTTTCCCAGCAGAGGGGAGGGACTCACCCCAGCTTCATACAGTGGGTTGCTAAAGTCTGACTCCACGGTGATGGGACTGTAGGAGTGGGAACCAGAGAAACCGAAAAGCGATTTTCCTTGCAGCCTGGGAAAGGGAGAGGACAGCGGGCTTATGGTGTGAGTCCACGAACTCCTTTCCCTGACTCCCAGGTACGACCCCTGCCCTGGCCAAAGGTCAGGGTCACAGGTAGGGTACTTACTTGGTGTAGTAGATGTAAACACCAATGCCAAGGACAATGACCAAACCTAGGGGCAACAGGATGGCCAGAGCAAGGTTTCCACCCTCCAGCTGCCGTGATGGGTCTGTAGTCTGGGTCACTGGGGAGGGAGGAAGAGTAGCAAATGAGGGAAGGCTGGACCCACTCCTGGGCTCTCCCAGCCTCCTGCCCTGGGTCCTGAACCCTCTGGGGCCTGGCCTCCTGCCCCCAGCCTCGACCTTGCCCTCCCAACCTGGCCAGGCCTGGTCTCCACCTGCGCCCTCACTGACCTTCCAGTTTTCGGTTGTCCAGGAGCTCCTCATAGGCCACTGCAGGGAGAGGAGGGGGAGGAGGGACGGGGTCTGAGCCAGGGAGGGAAGGAGACTGGGGAGAGGGCCGAAGCCCGGTGCGGCTGGGCTGCACAGCCTGGGTCTCTACCCTCTGTTCGGTCTATACTTGTCTTTCCCTGTGTGTGTAGAGGCCATGGCGATTGGTGGGCCAGGGCCTGTCCTCCTCTTCCAAACCCACTCAAGGTTCAAGGTTCCTGGAGAGTCTATTTCTCACTGATAGCAGAACCGAGGCCTTTGTGGAGAGGCAAAGGGGCTTCTATACCAAGGCCCCCGCTACATCCCTCAGATCTCCCCGGGTTTTCCGGTCCTGGCTGTGAGAATGAGCCCACACATTAGGGCACTGGGCAGTCAGCCACCGGTCTTGAGCTTTCTACCCAACTCTTCTATCTCACGCCACTCCCCAGAAACCCATATGCCCCTTCTGCCCTGTTCGCCCAGGCACCTTTGCAGAGGGGGGGCTGGCTGGTCCACTGAGAGGGGTGACCGGGCACACAGGTGATGGTGACCTCGCCGATGAGCTCAAAGCCCTCGTAACAGAAGAAACGCAGAGACTCGCCGGCTTGGTAGTGATGCTTGTACAGTGTCTGGTAGCCATTCTCGGGGACACCGGGGTTCAGGCATGGCTCGTATTTTACTGCAAGAAGCACCGGGCCACACAGCTGCTTAGAAACTGGGCAGGGCCAGTCTGGGTTCCCCAGTCTTCCCTTCCTGAGGTGTCCCCCAAACTTACAGGCGCATTTGGGGACTCGATCGCTCCACTTGGGTGTTCCTGTGTCCCGGCTGTAGCAGGTGAGCACAGCTGCCCCTTCCAGGCTGTACCCTGGCAGACAGCGATACTGGACGTGGGAGCCGACTGGGAAACCGGCATCTGAGGCGGTCCGGTGGCCATTGGTGATCTCGCCAGGGTCAGCACAAGTCATAACTGGCGATAGAAGGGAAAGTTAGGGGA